ATTCCCAGTATAAAAAGACCAATATACTTATAGCTCATAGTCTATGACCCAAGGGCTATAGACCTTGGTTTAACTCATGTAAGTCTAACCAGTACAGACCCAAATACCAATATCTTGCAAATACTGACAGCAAGAATTATAGAGTGGCATTTATAACAAATAAATGCAAATAAATTGATGTTCACAAAATGTTACATAACATTTATTGAGTCGTGTCAAGGTGCTGTAGCACTGTGTCCTCAGAGAGATTAGTTATCAGCGTGAGGAACTTATTTCTACCTTATTTATAAACTATTTATTTACAGGCCCATCAGTTAATGTAATAAATGTCCCGACCACAGCTGCACCCCCCACCCCCCCACCCCGGTCTCACACAATCGGGCAAGCTGCACGTGTGTTTAGCACGCCGCACGCGCACATTTAGCTGTTTTTAGCTGCTCAGGAGACCGCAGGTGCGGTGTGTGTCACTCACTCTGGTTAATCCAACAAGGAGCCGGCTCCGAGAGCTGTTTCTTTAGCGACCGACACATCACTACATCATTCCCTTTCCTAATGTTGTGAAGAACGGTCCGGAGCACAGGCGGAGTGTTTAGCTAACCTGCAGGAAATGTCGACGACAGTTATCCAGAAAGTAGCTAAGGGTTACCAGAGATGTTTCTCAGGTGTTCGCTAGGTACTTTTAGGATTAAAAAGTCAAGAAGGGGGTCTGAAAAGCTGCTAGAAATAGCGTCAAAGTCGCTAAGTTGGCAACACTGTGAGGAGCGCTTCATTTGCAACTTAGGGCAGCGCAAGCGGGAGGAGCAAATAATCGGCTTGTTATGTTTTTTATAATCGTTCAAAACTCAGATCGTAATCGTGATTAAAATTCGATTAATTGAGCAGCCCTAATGCCCATTATTTATAAAATAATGTTGGGAGTGTTTTGTTATCAGGGATTTAGTTCCAGATAGGGTTCTCTGTGTTTGAGAAGATTTCTTTAAAGCTAGCTACGTCATGAATAAACACAAGTAAAAGGTCCAACCCCCTTTCCCCCGAGCCACACCTTCAGAAAACACGCAATGCGAGGAGTTGGTTTTACGTTTATGTGGCACCTTTTCTGCCATAATTCCTAATGTGCCATGCCTATGTTACTGTGCAACAGTTTAGTAGCTAGTGTGGTAAATCTTATGGTAGTAAATTGGATCTTTGCTGCACGGCGGTGGAGGTTGGGGACGCTCTCTGACCTCCGTTAACCAGATGGGGGGGCTCTGTGGACGGCAGAGGACAGACAGATTTTTTTCTGGTAAATTCTGACATTTTGACTGATAAATAGCTGGAAAAACTACCAGCGCGCACCGTATGCTAGAAAAAAGTAGCGGTACGCTGCAAGTTAAATTCAAAGGAGCCGGTAGTGTGCACCGGTGTGTACGGCCAACTGAAGGCGCTGGGTGGAAACCATCTCACAGCGAGGCGACTGCACTGACCGCCACTCCACCTCTAGAAATCAGTCTTGCACCTCTGGTGATTCGTGTTCCTGCATGTTGAGTATGATTTTATGCTGGTAAACACTTGCAGCATGATGAGCTGGACTGAAGCGGCTGCTATAACGAGTCCTTTATCAGTTGAAATGCAGTACTTTATCCTCTAACGTAAAAACAAGGACAGCTGATGCTCTAAGGGGCTAAATAAAGCTTTATCACAAACCTCGAGGTAGCTGCAGACCAGTGCAGCCTATTGCTGTTTGATAAGGAGGTGTTAAAGGGCACGGCGTCCAAACCAAACATCTGTGGGGAAGTCCCGTTGAGAAGTCCGGTTCTTACAACTCTCAGTAGGGTGATAGTTGGCCAGGAGGCAGGAGGGCCGTCCTGGCTGAGATTCTCTGACTTTGGGGTATTTCTTCTTTATTTTTATTTAGAAAGGGAATGTTGAAATAAGATCCACAAGTAAGGCAACTTTTTATGTGACACTAGATGTTTCTGTTTGTTACACGGGTAACACTTAACAATAAGGTACGCAAAATTGTGCTTCGTTACTAGAGAACAACTTAGGGGGTAATGAGCAGTAAAGCAGGGAAGAATAGGTAGTTAACCAGTAGTTACTGGTAAACATCCAGCAGTCTTATTCTGGGTCTAATAGGTAGTTATCTATGAAAGCAATAAGGAGCGAATCCCAGATGAATGTGGTGCCTGTGGACTCTCTTTTGTAAACTTCGTGAAGGATGCAGATAATTTGCAACATCAGTGATTTAACATCACTGTTTCATCTTGATTTCACTCGTCTGTCACTTCGTCGGCATCCGTCCGTCTCGAGATGATGGAAAGTGAAGCCTCCTCCAAGTACCTACTGAGGAACTAATCTGTACCTACTAGATACTTAACCATTACTTATATGTTGTTACATGGCCATTTACCATAAATTCAATTCAAGTTTATTTATAAAGTGCCAAATCACGACAAGTTGTCGTCCCAAGGACCTTCAAACAGTTAACATTTCAGTGCAGGTCAGGTCATTAAGCCAAACAGAAAAAAGGTTTACTATATAAGGAACCCAGCAGGTTGCATCGAGTCACTGACTAGTGTCAGTCTTTACAGCAATCCTCATACTAAGCAAGCATGCAGCGACAGTGGAGAGGAAAACTCCCTTTTAACAGGAAGAACCTCCAGAGGATCCTGGCTCAGTATAAGCAGCCATCCAACACACACACACACACACACACACACACACACACACACACACACACACACACACACACACACACACACACCAAGTAATGTGTCTCTGGTTACATTTTGATGTCTTAGTAAATATTCTATTTGGCGAGAGATAAATTTTATTGTATTTATCCTAGTGGATCTATAATTAAACGGGTAAACTAGTAGTAGCACATCCAACGTCAAAGAGAGTAAAATGTTATTATCAGGAGAGGGAGAATGTTTTAAGTGGTTAGCAGCAGTGTGCTAGCTGAAAGACATTGAGCTTATTCACACATCATTTTCTTTCATCTTGTGTGGTAATATTCCTAAGATGGGTGACCAGAATCCTGCAGGTTAGTGTTACCTGGCTCAAATCAATCACTAACAAAATGTTAAATGTTTTGGGTACTTTTTTAAATAATCAGAAAAGTACACAAAAATTAACTTTTACTTAATTACTCTAAAACTACATATTCTTCCCTGCTTCATTACTCATTAGCCCCTAAGTCGTTCCCTAGTAACGAAGCACAATTTAACGTACCTTATTGTAAAGTGTTACCGTTAAACTGATGAATAATTTTGTATTTTAATTTTTACCCCTAAAACAAGAATAATAGACAAAAGGCCTGATTCCAGTTTTGAAACTTCAGGGTAATTTTAGCAGTCCTTCGCGAAATGTGAGTGTCTCCCATTTCACCGGTCTGGCCCAAAAGGATCATTTTCCGGCCCATTCCAGGGACCAGCCATGTATCTGAGCTAGGATGTGTACTTGGAAAGGGCGCAGTAGTCAATCGGTGGTACCTTTGGGTAACTCACGCTGATTGGTTGCAACTCCGTAGGAAATGATAAAGCAGATGTCTCCAAGGAAAAAAAAGTAAACGGTTTTCAGGCTGCTTTAAAATCACCGATTCCAAACTCCCTAAAATCCAGCAGAAATCCTCCACAAGGCCCGAATGTTGGCTGTTTTTCAGCCTCCTACTTGTACTCCACTGGTCAACGAACGCTGCTATTTACGTCCTGCAGCCGCTCTCCCCATTTGCTCTCTGTGATGCCTTTTAGCGCCGATCGGTTAATCTTGTCTTTCCATTCGAACAACGCAGACTTCCACCTATTCTACAGGCTAAATCAGGGGCGCCTCCAGAAATTTTTGATGGGGTGGCCAGACGGGGCCAAAGAAATGTTTGGAGTGGCACACCAAATTGGTCCTTGTGGTAACTCTAGGAGAGTTAACGCTTTGACGATGTATTGCATTGCTCCTTTATTTGTTTTTATTATATATTAGAAAAAACAGTACGCATCCAAAACATTTAACTTAAATTTTACAAACAGACATTTCAGAAAAATACATTTCAGTTATTTAAAATGTTTTTATTTTTTGTTTAATTCACCTGTTGCTGTGCTCACAAAAAACTATGGAGATAAAAACGTTTTTCAAATGGTGAGCAGCAGAAACGTGTTTTTTAAAATTTGGATTCTTTCTTTACTCGTTAATTGTATTTTATTTTGTTTTACAATTATGTCTTGAATAAATAAGATCAATTAATGGTTTGAGTGAACATTAATATGATTTATTAACACTGGCTTTTCCTGGGGGGACAGCAATTTTCTAGGGGTGGCCATGGCCACCCTTGGCCACCCCTTGGGGCGCCATTGGGCTAAATTTGTACATCTTAGGATGTGCAGCATTCATCCAGTGTTTCCAGTTATGATGCCCGTACGCTGTGTGCTGCCGTGACCAGAGAAAAAACATTTTAATTATTATGTGTTGAAGTCCTTCTTAAACCGTAGTGTTTCCAATTCTTCGTTTTACTATTAAACGGCTCAGCTCTGCCCCCTGCTGACTCTTCTTAACAGCTGCAGTCTCCAAAAAAACGTGATCGAGATATTTTAGATATCCGTAAAAGTTCTGCTGTAAGATCAAAGTTTGTATTTCTGAAGGTATTCATTTAAAATCTTCTGCTGCAAACGTGGCAATTAACAGTCTAGTGCTTTTATTTTGACGAGCCACAGCCCAGTGTTCCTGTTTTTGCCTGAAGATGCTAAAAAAATAAATGCAGAAATATAAAGAAAGTAGTCATGATCACTACAATGTAACCAGCTAACGAGCAAAAACACGCTTATTCAGTAGCTTTAATGTTCGATGTGTGTTGTTGTGATCTGAAGGATCAACACTCTTCTTCCTTTCCTCCTTCCTCCAGAATAGTTCGTGATTATCTGAGTGGAGCTCCATTTTCTTCCTACCAGGAGTCCATGTACTTCTCTCGCTTCCTGCAGTGGAAATGGTTGGAAAGGTGGGTAGTCTCTGCAGTCAGGGCGAGCGTGCACGCACGTTTTGTTTTCCTTTAAATTCTTGCATTAAAGAACCCAGCAGTGATTTGGTATGCAGAGAAGACTTTTTCACCACTAATAATTGTCAGTAAGTAAATCAAATTGGCTAAACTCCTACAGACACGAAGGTGTTGCTGTCTGTAACAGCTTAATAATTAATTATTCTTTTGCATAAAGCAGACAAGCAGGATGGAAAAGGCAGTCATCAGAGGGAATTAATAATAAATTAGACCATTACTCTGTCTGCAAAATCATACGACCGCTGAGAATGACATCAGCTGCATCAGAGTAGGCCTTTTTAGGTCTCCGTTAACGTTTTCCTTCCTGTTTCTCCTTTCTTTTGTCTCTACAGGCAACCAGTAACCAAAAATACCTTCAGGCATTACAGAGTACTAGGAAAAGGTGGATTTGGCGAGGTGAGTCTGGAAAAATCTTAAAGAGCAAGTCACCCCCAAATCAACTTTACTTTTCTGATAAACTATATAAATGCATGTCTAATCATGCTGCAGACACGTGTAGTCAATAGTTTTGCACTTTAGTGCATTTTAGTTGAAATTTAAATTTTCTGCCTAAAACTGTCAGTGTTGTGCTGTTATCGGGTAAAAACTCAGCACTGCATTTTGAATTTAAATCCGCCATCGCTATTGGCTAAGAGGTACCCTAGAACGTTAGCTGGTACCATATGATGTCACAATGTTGTTGTGAGCCTGTGTGTGTATTTGTTAGCGGCTCCGCCCTCTCGGTCTGCTAGGCAACAGCATTTGTTGCATTTGTCAAACAGGAAGTGGGAGTGGAGTAAGAATCTGGGACGGGGGGTGACTTGCTCTTTAAATTGGTTAGTTTGTAAATTTTTTATAACATTAAATTTGAAGTTTTTATAAAAGTGTAATTTTTTTAGCTAATTGCTTTTCCTCCTAAACCCTACAGGGAGCTTACGTCTCGTCCCTCTCTGCTTGGCTATTGGGTCCCTGAATGGGGCTGTTTTCTAACCCGCTCTGCCTTACACCCTGGATCACACACATGTTATAATTCTATTTAAATGAAAAGTAATGATGGGTGTTTAGACCACGCCAGTCACGTACTTTGAGATTTATCAGCTTGTAAACGTTCGTAATTAGCATGACTACAAATCAGATGTCAGTATGTCGCATACACCACAAAATCTCCTCCCCCCTAGCGTAGCTGCTACTCACCACATATGGTGGTTCTTTCCTCCTGAAGGAAGGATTGAAGTTCGCTGAACTTTCAGCCATTTTCCCTGTTTTTCTCTGTTGTCTGGTTCGATGAAATCACTGATGAAGCGCAATTGTAGTCCTGGACTTATTTTCACACTAAACCTAAAAGAACGTTTCTCCCCTTTCAAAAACAATCGCTTTCTGGGCATCAAAGTGCTTCTTCAAAATTCACGGACATCATGTGTGAAATCCATGGCACATAATAAGCTGAATTAGAAAATAGCGTTTTTAGCCCCGTTGACTTGCATGAATTTTTTTCGTTCTTCCAGGGACCCGTGGTCCGGAAGTAGATGGGCGTGACGTGGGCTCCCGATTGCACGTTAACGTTTTTATTGTTTTTTAACTTTTTTTGTTTGTTTTTTCTGTGTCGACAGGTTTGTGCCTGCCAAGTACGTGCCACCGGTAAGATGTACGCCTGTAAAAAGCTGGAAAAGAAACGGGTGAAGAAAAGAAAAGGTGAAGCAATGGCACTAAACGAAAAACGCATTTTAGAAAAAGTTAACAGTAGTTTTGTAGTAAGTACTACTTTTTTTCTTATTCTACCTTTCACAAGAATTGCACCTGTTTGTATGCATGCTTGTTGTTGCCTGTGGCTGGAGGAAGATGCAAATGAAATTAAACATGTTTGCATAAATATCAATTCTATGGCCTCATTTTCATGTGAGAGGCTTTAATGACACGCTTAGAAGGTGATTCTTGAGTAAAAACACATCAAATCCAGATTTTGTTTTGATAAAATAAAATGCAAACATCAACTTTTTGATTTTAATTGCAGAATCTTGTCAGCCACTTATGATTTAAAGAGCAAGTCACCCCCAAATCAACTATTTTTTCTGATAAACTATATAAGTGTGTGTCTAATTGTGCTGCAGAGATGTGTAGTCAATAGTTTTGCACTTAAGTGCATCTTAGTTAAAATTTTAATTTTCTGCCTAAAACTGTCAGTGTTGTGCCGTTGTCAGGTAAAAATTCTGCACTGCATTTGAATTTAAATCTGCCATCGCTATTGGCTAAGAGGTACCCTAGAACGTTAGCTGGTACCATATGATGTCACAATGTCGTTGTGAGCCTGTGTGTGTGTGTGTGTGTGTGTGTGTTTGTGTGTGTGTGTGTGTGTGTGTGTGTGTATTTGTTAGCGGCTCCGCCCTCTCGGTCTGCTAGGCATCAGCATTTGTTGCATTTTTCAAACAGGAAGTGGGAGTGGAGTAAGAATCTGGTAGGGGGTGACTTGCTCTTTAAATGTTTTAATTGTTATTCACTGAAATTATTTAAACATTTGTATCCTAAAGATCATTTTCAATCAAATTTAGATTTATTTTGGTTCATTTTGACAAATAAATCACAAATTATTATCAACCACACCCAGTTTTGCCACAAGCTAGGGCTCTACATTCAATTAAACAAAAATAGTGATGTCATACATCCAAAGTACTGCGCAGTAGTTATCATTTACCCTGATTTTAAGCTTTCTGAAGCTCTTTTAAAGTTTTCTGTATAAATTTGACGCCAGTTTTTACTCGTCTTCCTCTGTTGGAAATCATGACATCATATTAATCATTGCGTGCCTAAAATGATGAGGAAAAATGGAAGACCAAATGGTGTAAAGGAAAAATAAGTTATTATCCAACAGAAAGATTAAAGTTTTCAGCGAAACCCTTTGAGAATCGTTTTTTTACGTCTTTCAAACCGTTTGTATTTATACTTCATCTTACAGCTGAATGTGGTAACTTATTTAGTGTTTTTGTTAAACTGCTGGTAAGAAAATACTTAAAGATCCAATTTAAAAAGGTTTCTTTGCTAAGTTGTGTGGACAGTTTGAGCTTAGCGGCCTTGATTTACGTTTAAACTATTCATTAGTCAGAGTCGAGTATCCTGAGAAAACAATTCCCTTAAAGTAGCCAAATGCTGGACTGAAAACGAGGGAAAATGCAGCCAAAGTTCAAAAATCTTTCAGAAAACAAGACATTTGTAAAAGATTTTAATACATTTTGTTGCTTTAAAACCAAATATGAATAATTAAGGGGTTTCTCATGACTTACTGTGGATTTTTAATTACAGGGTTGAAACACTGAAAAACATGTTTGAAGGATTATTTCTGATTCTAACGGGTCACTCTGAGTGCTTCATGCAGGCTGAACATGAGAATAGTCTCCTACACCTACTTCCTGCTTTAGCTTCTGATGGAAAACACACGGTGAAACTCTAGGATAGAAAATCCTGACAGATCTACGTCACGCTGTCACTAACATTCATGGACTCGCCCGTCTTGGCTCACGACGGGGAAGGCTGTTGTTGGTTTAGCGTCCAGGAAACAGCAGAGCTAACGCTAACGTCTAACTGTTAGCACTAGCAACTCCACCACACAGCAGAGCTCCTCGCGGCTCGTGTTATTGGTAGAGATAAAACATCAATGCTGCAGAGCAAACGGAGTCAGTGGTAGAGTTGTTTTGCTGTTAGCCAATCAGAGGAGAGATGTGAAAATATCAGGAAATAAGACTCCTAATCCTGCTGTCTGATGCTCAACTCTGATGGGGCTCATTTCTAGTTCCTTAAACTGGCGCACCAGTGCTTTGTTTCCGCCGTGCATGACTGATCTGACATTTATTTCTACTAGAGACGAGCAAATTAAACAAATGTTCCACACCTTTAAAATACAGGTGTTATTGGCCATGATGTCGGAGGAGTTGGCTGTCCACCCCATATTCTGAGGGTTGCAGGTTCGAGCCCCTCTGTCTGTTGCTGTCACCGTGTCCATGGGCAAGACACTTCACCCACCATGCCTGCTGGTGGCGTGAGTGCACCCCAGGGCAGCTGTGGCTACAGTGTAGCTCATCATCACCAGTGTGTGTTAGAATGGGTGAATGACTGATTGTGTTTTAAAGTGCCTTGGGGGGTTTTAGGACTCCAGAAAGTACTATCTCAAATAGGTCTGGACAATAACTCAGTAATGATATCTATCGATTGACGTGTGAAAAACACGGGTCGATTAAATGGTTTATTACAGCCTATCAGGTAGCTTTATACTAGACTCCCAACACGGATCTGGGCACGCTCTGTCACCAAGCCGTCCCCTCTCAAACCCAAACAGACGTGACCTAAAGAAAACATCGCAGCATGAAGAGGCGGAGGGAAATGATTCTCGGCTTTACAAGTTCTTTACTAAATTTGCTACAGGAGCTGAGGCCAGTCCTTCAGCTGAGCGAGCGTGTGGACGCGCTCGATGCCTGAGCGCTGGCCGCCCAGGTGGAAGCAGGATGAAGTCATTTCCTGTCATGTTTGTAAATATCACTATAATTGTGAATAATCTGTGAATAGTGTGTGTGTGTGTGTGTGTGCGTGTGTACATGCATGTATGTGTGTGTGGACGGGGGATGGGCTTAGTAAATATAAAGTAGATGTTTTGCCTACATTATATCACAGTACAGAGTAAAACTATCACTTTCATGGTGTTCTAAAAATTACACATCATTCCTGAAAGAGAAAACTCTGGATTTCTTCTTTAACCTTCCCACTGTCCTAATGGGTGAGCCCACCAGGAAAGTTGACCATTGAGCAGGATTGATGGTTTATCCCTTGAGGTCCATGTGGCAGGGGTGAGGTGGTGGACCCAACCACCATCCAAAATGCAGCAGCCAGACTCCTAACCAAATCCAGCAGACGAGCTCACATCACTCCAGGTTTGCAGTCCCTCCACTGGCTCCCGGTAGAATATAGAATTCGGTTTAAAGTTTTAGTCCTGACCTATAGAGCTCTTAACAACCAGGCTCCAAGCTACCTATCTGAGCTTTTATCCCCACACATCACCTCTCGGAACCTTAGATCCACATCTGAAAACCTCCTGGCTGTTCCTCGAACCAGACTGAAAACCAAAGGGGACAGGGCCTTTCAGACTATTGCACCCAGACTTTGGAACAGTCTACCTTCAAATCTCCGTCTCTCTAACAATGTAGAGGTCTTTAAAAATCATCTAAAAACTCACCTTTTCATCCAGGCGTTCCCTCCCTAAATGTTCAAAAAGATGGCTTTCTTCGGGTTCACACCTTCACTTTGTTTATACTCATGATTTAATTTACTATTTTATCACTGCTATTGTTTTTCTGATGTTTATATTGGTTAGAGGTATTTGCCCTGATCTTTATCATGTTGTACAGCGCTTTGTGATTTATATCTGTGAAAGGCGCTCTATAAATAAATTTTTACTTACTTACTTACCACCAGTCCTGCTCAGTGGTCAACTTTCCTCGTGGGCTCACCCATTAGGACAGTGGGAGGGTTAATGGACCGAATTCTATTTTAATGCAAAGATGTGCGTCCAATGAGGATGTGGAAGTTTTTTACTTCCAAATAGACACATCAGGTCTTTAAAAAGTCACTATGTTATCGAGCTGAAGCAGAACTGTGATACTCTTCTGTAGTCCAGTGACCAGCAGACCCCCCCATCCCAACATGGCTCTGTTCCAGCTGAGGTGGATTAGTCCATTTTGGATGCAGCATGAGCTATGTTGCGTGTCCTTGATTTGAGTGAGTCATTGTAGAAGCATACACACGCACACACACACACACACACACACACACACACACACACACACACACACACACACACACACACACACACACACACACACACACAGGAGTGGGCTTGTTGCCGAACCTCAGACTTGCAGCTCTTGTCACCTGGGATTGGCTCATGATTCCATGTGCATATATGTGTTTTCGCTCGCTGTGCTGCAGGCAGAACTGATGACTCTTCATGTGCCTCTCTACCTACAAGAGCAGCTCTGTTGCCTAGCAACACTGACCAAACAGCAGAAGAGAAGAGAAGAGTCAAGTGCTCTCTCAAAGCCATCACTCCTCTCTCCCTAGCCGTTCTTCTTTACCGTTTTCTGCGATGCGTGCAGACGGTCGGTCGATGCATACCGTCAGCCAGCTGCATGTTTTAACAGCCGTGTGTGTGCGCGTGTTAAGTGTGTGTGAAAGCATTTCTAACAAGGGACAGGGTGACCCTGCTCTGGAACCTCCAGAGAGTGAAAATGAGGTAGCGCTGCATCACTCTGATGCAAATTCATCTCATTATCATTTAGAATTTGTTGGCATTTTTGTCCATTTTTAGCGCCCGTTTCTGTTCTCCGTGTCGTTTTGTTTAAAAACCGACAAATCCAAAAGGTTCAAGGGATTTTGTGTGCAGATATTTCGGTTTTTTTTTAATTTTCAGGCTTCATTAATAGGAAATCTATATTTTAAATGCTTTGTTAAATATTAAATAAAATTAATTGTATAGAAATAAAAAAATGATTCAAATGATCTAATTGCCTTAAAGAGCAAGTCACCCCCAAATGAACTTTTTTTCTGATAAACTATATAAATGTGTGTCTAATCGTGCTGCAGACACGTGTTGTCAATCATTTTGCACTTTAGTGCATTTTAGTTAAAATTTTCATTTTCAGCCTAAAACTGTCAGTGTTGTGCCGTTGTCCGGTAAAAACTGCACTGCATTTGAATTTAAATCTGCCATCGCTATTGGCTAAGAGGTACCCTAGAACGTTAGCTGGTACCATATGATGTCACAATGTCGTTGTGAGCCTGTGTGTGTGTATTTGTTAGCGGCTCCGCCCTCTCGGTCTGCCAGGCAACAGCATTTGTTGCATTTTTCAAACAGGAAGTGGGAGTGGAGTAAGAATCTGGTAGGGGTTAAAGAGCAAGTCACCCCCTATCAGAGTCTTACTCCACTCCCACTTCCTGTTTGAAAAATGCAACAAATGCTGTTGCCTGGCAGACCGAGAAGGAGGAGCTGCTAACAAATACACACAGGCTCACAACAGCATTGTGACATCATAATGTACCAGTTTACATCATAGCATGCCTCTCAGCCAATAGCGGTGGCAGATTTAAATTAAAATACAGTGCAGCGTTTTTACCTGACAACGGCACAACACTGCCAGTTTTAGGCAGAATATTTAAATTTTAACTAAGATGCACTGAAGTGCCAAATTATTGACGACACATGTCCGCAGCACGATTAGACACTCGTTTATTTAGTTTATCAACAAAAAAAAGTTTATTTGGGGGCGACTTGCTCTTTAAGTTGGCAACACTGTGGGAGGAGCGCTTGATTTGCAATTTGGGGCAGCACAAGACGGAGGAGCTGATAATCGGCCTGTTTGTTTTTGTAATCGTTCAAAACTCAGATGGTAATTGGGATTAAAATTGGATTAATTTAGCAGCCCTACTCATACGTCTACTCGAGCAAGTCACACCCACCAGATTCTTACTTCACTCATACTTCCTGTTTGAAAAATGCAACAAATGCTGTTGCCTAGCAGACCGAGAGGGCGGAGCTGCTAACAAATACACACACACACACACACACAGGCTCACGACATTGTGACATCATATGGTACCAGCTAACGTTCTAGGGTACCTCTTGGCCAATAGCGATGGCAGATTTAAATTCAAATGCAATGCAGAGTTTTTACCTGACAACGGCACAACACTGACAGTTTTAGGCAGAACATTTGAATTTTAACTAAAATGCACTAAAGTGCAAAACTATTGACTACACGTGTCTGCAGCATGATTAGACACACATTTATATAGTTTATCAGGAAAACAAGTAGATTTGGGGGTGACTTGCTCTTTAAGAAACATATGAATACATTAAATAACTGTTAGTTGTGTCTTTAAAAGTAAGTAAATCAAGAATAAAGATTTAAAATATTGATCAGGCTGAATAAAATCTGAGGTTATAAGAAAAGGCAGAAAGCACTAATCAAACATCTCTGGGGGTGGTCTGGCCTGCCAGACGTGTCCTCTTCCCATAAGGAAGTGCGGGGCTGACTGGTCAGGCTGCATTATTTGCATCTTGTTATGACTTTTGTGGGATTTGTTTTATTTTGTTCTGACAGGACGAATAAATTTGTATGAATGCGTAAATACATGGACGACTCTTTGCCCCTGGCTCGCGGTGTGTGTGTGTGTGTGTGTGTGTGTGTGTGTGTGTGTTATGGATATATTCACTTGGCCTGTGAGAAGATTTTCCATCTTTTCTTGTGGTTTTTCTGCACAAACACTTGGTAGCAGATGGGATTCCTCGGGCTGGCAGCAACATCCTGCTTACTCACAAACACTGTGTCACTGACCCCCCAAAGGGGGAGAGAAAAGGGGGAGGGCTGGTGGGAAACGGGAAGGCTTTTTGGAATCCGCGATAGAAATCTCTTGCTTTTTACTTGGTTTACATTCCTGGCGTTCCATCTGGGATGATAAACACTTTGGGGCTTTAAACGAGCTCCGTCGGTCTCTTATTACCTTTCTTTCTTGTTTCTCCTACTCCCTCTTTTCTCTGTTGATGGACTTTTTATTTTTTCCACCTCCCTTCTTCCTTTCCTCTTAGCTGCTCTTTTCTCCAAACCTCTTCCCAAAATGTGTCTGTCTCCTCAGGTTAGTCTAGCGTACGCCTACGAGACCAAGGACGCTCTGTGCCTGGTGCTGACCCTAATGAACGGTGGAGACCTGAAGTTTCACATCTACAACATGGGAAACTCGGGCTTCGATGAGCAACGGGCCATTTTCTACGCCGCTGAGATCTGCTGTGGCCTTGAGGATCTGCACCGAGAGAGGATAGTGTACAGGTGAGCTCACATAGAGTCGAAAATGTAGAAAAGAAACGCAAAAATAACCTTTTTGTGTTATTTTAATGTCTTCTGCACAAGTTGTTGGCATTTCTGTATGTTTTAAAAGTAGTAATTGTGTAATGAAAACTGGGAGCAGTACACTTGGATCGTGCGTGCTAGACTAGCTGTTAGCTTGTCAATCCTTTTGAGCAGAAATTCTATTTCTCCAAACGAAGGCCATTCAGGAAGCTTGCTCTAACTCCCAGATGGTGTTTATTTATGGCGATTTCCCTCTCAGACACATTTGAAATCAATTTAAGTTCAGTTTTGTGTTTAAGTTGAATCATTTGTCTTTTTCAGAGATCTGAAACCTGAAAACATCCTACTAGACGACCGTGGTATGTTACTTTTATTATTTTTAGGCCCGAGCAGCGAAAGCGCCGCGAAGGCCTGTTGTATCTGCTCTGTTTATTTTTCTTCCGCCAAGTAAATTGGCTTTTTGGAGGCCTTAACATACCCGAAAACTCAGGAATTTTCGCACACATGTCAGGCGTGGTGTAAAATTTTGTATTTTAAAGGTCCCAAAAATAATGCAATAAAACTAGCTCCACGGCGCCCCCTAGAAAATGAAAAATACCCCCCTCCATAAACCTTTGTTTGTCGTACAGTTATGAAATTTTGTACACTTGTAGTACTCAACAGTCCGCACAGAAAAGCCTCTTGCAACCTTGGTCAATATCAAACAGGAAGTCGGCCATCTTGGTTTGAAGTGGTGATTTTGACCCCGTTTTGGCCGTTTCTAGGTTCCGCTTCTGATTGATTTACTCGATCATTTTTCGCACGATCGTCTCGAAAGTTGTGGGAAATTGCTCAGAAGGGATGGGCGATCAAATAGAATAAATAAAACTGAATTTTCGTAAATGCTGAGGGGGCGTGGCCAGGCCTCGAAGTTCGACTACCCGCCAAAAAATGTATATAAATGGCTATAACTTCATACTCGCATAGAGTAAAGTTACAAAAGCTCCTGTGGTCATTCGTCATCCAGCCACAAACTAAACTGAATGGTTGGATGATGACATCACACAAGCCCCGCCCCTTCAGGACCAAAAAGGTCAAGTTTTACTGCGATAGGTCCCAAATCGCCCCATTTCACTTAATCACCACAAATTTGTAGCTGGTAACTCAAGACAAGTATGTGTTTCTTTGCGTCACTTTATGGGAGTTTTCAAAAGAGGGCGGGGCTGTAGTGGCACGGCGAAGTCAGGCGTACCGCCGTGGCCATACGTTTGCCTCCAATTTCGTCATTTCTAAAGATATCGCCACGAAACTTCTGGTGAGTGATCCTAGTCTGGCCCCCCAAAAAATATGATGTGAAAATCTGGTGGGCGTGGCCTATTTTCTCTAATAGCGCCCCCTAGGACCATTACAACTATCAGCCCCAAGCCATGCTTTGACTGAGGAATACAAAATTTGGTACACTAATGTGGTGTCTCAGGACCTACAAAAAGGTCTCTTGGAGCCAAGCGCAACGTCGCACAGGAGGTCGGCCATTTTGGTCCAAGTACTTGATTTAGTGGTTTTCGCACACGTTGTTTGGAGAATGACGCCCCATCGCCCTTTTCACTGATTGCCTTCAAACTTCTGCTATATACTCTGAAGACAAAGGGGGAAAATTTCAACTGTCGGATTTTAAATAAGTATAAAGTTGTGGGCGTGGCTAAGCCTCTAAATTTGACTTGTCGCTATGCCACTTTTTTTCACAGCTCCCTTTTGGACTGCTTTTACCCAATCACCAGCAATGTCTGGCAAATAGCAGTAGACAAGTTGAAGTCACTTGGTCTCCAGTATTGGCAGGTTTCAAAAAAAGGCGGGGCTTTGGGAGCATGGCGAAATTCGCCATCAGGCCATGGAAATACGTTTGCCTCTCATTTCCTCAGTTATCATGATATCGCCACAAATTCTCTGGTGAGTGATCCTAGTCTGACCCCCAGTAGAAATGGACGTGATAGGTTTGTGGGCGTGGCCTATTTTCTGAAATAGCGCCCCCTTGGACCATTAAAACTGTCAGCCCCAAGCCGTGCTTTATCTGAGAACTACGAAATTTGGTACACTAATGTAGTGTCTCAGGACCAACTAAAGTCTCTTGGGGCCAAGGTCAATGTTGCGCAGGAAGTCAGCCATATTGGTCCAAGTACTAGATTTAGTGGTTTTCGCGCACGTTGTTTGGAGAGTTTGGAGGTTTTCACCAATCGCCTTCAAACTTCTGCTATATACTCTTAAGACATA